CAGGAACCGGGGATTGGGGACAGAGGGGACACGGGGGACGCGCTGAGTCAGTGCTGAGTCAGCAGGACGTGCCCCCCTCTCCGGCCGTGGCGCGGTGCCAGCGTCACTCGTGTCATTGTCACCTCGTGTCATTGTCACCTCCTGCCACCCTCCCGCCACTGCGCGGTCCCCTCTGACCCCCGGGCTGTCCCCTGCGTGTCACCTGCGTGTCCCCGTGCCCCCTTTGAGCCCCCCCAGCCCCATTTGTCGCCTCTCCCCCCCCCCGTGTCCCCTCCGTGTCCCCTCCCGGGTGTGTCAGGAAGCGGCTCCGGAGCGGCCCCGGGATTGTCCCTTCGGGACCGGGAGCGATTCCCGGAATCGGCCCCAACTGGAGAAACGGGAGAAAACGGGAAAATCCCCCGAAACGGCGGGAGAAAGGGGGAAAACCCCCAAAATATCGGGAGAAAATGGGAAAAATCCCCAAAAAACACCGGGAGAAAACGGGGAAAACCCCAAAACAGCGGGAGAAAACTGGAAAACCCCCCCAAAATATCGGGAGAAAACGGGAAAATCCCAAAAACACCGGGAGAAAATGGAAAAACCCCCCAAAAAACACCAGGAGAAAGCGGGAAAATCTCCCCAAAACCGGGAGACAATGGGAAAATCCCCCCAAAACAGCGGGAGAAAACGGGAAAATCCCCCCAAAATATAGGGAGACCCCTCCCCAAAACACCGGGAGAAAACCTGAAAACCCCAAAAGACCGGGAGACCCCTCCCTCCAAAAAAACCAGCAGCTCCTCGGGATACGATGCTGTGCTGGCACCCCCTGGACCCCAAAACTGGTACGGGGGGCACTGAAATTCCCCCAAACTTTGACTCCCTCAAAATTGGGGGTCCCAGAATTCCCGAATTTTCCTTTTGGGAATCCGGGGAATGAGGGGGAGCCCCCGATTTTCCCCTCGGGATGGGGTTGGGGGGCTCCAGGATGGGGTTGGAATTTGGGGGAATTCCAAAGGGTTTGGGATACGGGGAAAACCCAAAAAAATGAGAACAGCAGCCTGGAAAAATGTCCCTTTAATTGCCACAGCAGTGCCCGACAGCCCCAAAACCCCTCCCGACCCCAAATGGAGGAGGGGCTGGACCCCAAATGGAGGGGGCTGGACCCCAAATGGGGGGTGGGGCTGGACCCCAAATGGGAGCTGGACCCCAAACTGGGGGTGGACTTGACCCCAAATAGAGGAGGGGGTTGGATCCAGTTTGGGGTGACCAGATCCCACCCTGGGGGTGTCAAATTCCATCTGGGGGGGATCAAACCCCATTCAGGGGGGTCTCATCCATCCTTTGGGGGATCAAACCCCATTCTTGGGGGGTCTCACCCCATTTGGGTGGGGGTCTCCCCCATCTAAAGGGGTCAAACCCCATCCTGGGGGGGATCAAACCCCATTCAAAGGGGTCTCACCCCATTCAGGGGGGTCCCCCCACCCCAGAGGTGTCACCCCGCAGTGGGGGAGGGTCTCATCCCATTTGGGGGGTCCCAGAGGTGTCACCCCGCAGTGGGGGAGGGTCTCATCCCATTTGGGGGGGTCTCACCCCATTTGGGGGGGTCTCACCCCATTCTCGGGTGTCTCACCCCATTTTGGGGGGTCTCATCCCATTTGGGGTGTCCCCAGGATGTCACCCGGCATTGGGGGGCTGTGCCAGCACCCCATTTGGGGGTCCCACGGTGTCACCCCATTTGGGGGTCCCAGGATGTCACCCGGCAGTGGGGGGCTGTGCCAGGGGTGTCACCCCATTTGGGGTGTCCCCAGGGTGTCACCCGGCATTGGGGGGCTGTGCCAGCACCCCATTTGGGGTGTCCCCAGGATGTCACCCAGCATTGGGGGGCTGTGCCAGCACCCCATTTGGGGTGTCCCCAGGATGTCACCCGGCATTGGGGGGCTGTGCCAGGGGTGTCACCCATTTGGGGGTCCCAGGATGTCACCCAGCATTGGGGGGCTGTGCCAGCACCCCATTTGGCGGGTCCCGGGGTGTCACCCAGCATTGGGGGGCTGTGCCAGGGGTGTCACCCCATTTGGGGTGTCCCGGGATGTCACCCGGCATTGGGGGGCTGTGCCAGGGGTGTCACCCCGTGGCGGGGGGGCTGTCCCAGGGGTGTCACCCAATTTGGGGTGTCCCCAGGATGTCACCCGGCATTGGGGGGCTGTGCCAGCACCCCATTTGCCAGGTCCCTGTAGGGCAGCCCCAGCGGGTACAGGGCCGAGTACCGGCGCTCGTGCCACAGCAGCCGCTGCTCCAGGAAGGTGACAGCGCCCAGGGACAGCACCAGAGTGCGGTGTTTGAGCAGGCTGTGCACGTTCAGCCCTGCGGGGACATCAGTGCAGTGTCACCAAGTGTCCCCAGAGTGTCCCTGAGTGTCCCCAGGGTCCCCCCAGAGTGTCCCAAAGTGCCCCAGAGTGTCCCCGAGTGCCCAGTGTCAGCACCAGCATGCGGTGTTTGAGCAGGCTGTGCACGTTCAGACCTG